TGATTGCATATTAATGCAAGCCGAAAGCAACACTGTGTTAATTGGGTGATGTTGGAAGCAACATCCCCTACTACTAATTAAAGAATTTCTATATAAACACGGATGACGTAAAGAGAAACCTAACATTATACCGACATCCGTGGACATCTTTGACTGACGTACCGATTTAAAATTTTGAGATCGATTAAAGTTGTGAAAGCATAAATAAAGTTTATAAATGATTATATTTATCGTTACCAACGAATTAATATCGTTAATAACAAATTGTTCACAATGTAAATTTATAATAAAATTGGCAAAATTAATAAATTTCGGGTTATTGCTCGCACTTACAACGCATTCATGCTAAAATGTATATATAATTCACAAAAAGTTTATAAATTATTACACTAATTGTTAATGACAAATTAATATTGTTATTAACAAATTGCTTGCAACGTATATTTATAATAAAAGAGAAAAAATTAATAAATTATTAGCTATTAAAGCGAGAAAATTATAAATAATGGAATTGGCAAAGTTCGAAAATTTCTGATCGTGGCGGGGAGCTCGGCCGATCGGAAGCTATATATAAAGGGCGCCGCGACGCAGGGAAACTTATTTGTCAGTTCGACTTCGGAAGTGACACGTCTAAATTTCAAAGTGCTCGGAAGGGGGGGAGTCCGAAATGTGGATGGGGCTAGACATCCCACCCACACCTCACCCCATTTAACAATTTACTAATAATTTTATTTATTTTCAGGTATTAATTATTTTCTTCTTTCAGGATTTAATTATTTTTTCTTTTTTCAGGAATTAATTATTTTTTTGACTTTCAGATTTCATTTCTATTCATTTTTATTTGACAATTCGAATATTTCGTATAATATTCGAATGTCTTATCGTTTGGTTGTTTATGTCTTATCGTTGGGTTGTTCGTATCTCATCGTTGGGTAGTTCCTTTCACTTGATACATCTTTGTGGTTTATATTAGTTTCGCTTTTATTTTTTATGTTGTTACTAATCCGTTTCCTTTCAGATTTATATATTTTTCTGTTTCAGATTTTCAAGATTTGCAAGATTTACAAGACATCGTTGGACGACGCGGGATGCGGGCGTTTAGACCTAAGTAGTTATAAGCAGTTATAAGATAGATACCTAGACTAAGGTTCATGTGCGCGCTACCTGTACAAAGGTAAGCTACCGAACTTGGAGCGAAATATATCAATTCTCTATTATCTTCTTATCCCTGTCATTTACCAAATAGAACATAATTGTTGTCGCGATAATCGCGATTGTTCTTAAGTACCGACTAGCCTGCGTAACGTACTCTCCCGTACTTGATAACTCCATGTTTCGTAAGTCATCCAAACGATTCGTTCCGACACTCATCCTCGCCACTGCCACCCTTGTCATGCGCCGGTTCTAGGGTGGTCGGCGGGCTGGCACTCACCTGGGTCAATTCGAGGGTCTGTCGGCTCTAGTCGTCCTGGGCACCAGCGCGTGTACGACCCATGGTCTGCGGTCAGACCCCATGGGATGATTAATTTCTCCCCCATGTGGCAGGGGCCTGCGTGACCGGCTACGGGGACTCTCGGCTTGATTTTGGGTGTTTCGCTGGTTCGTCGACCGCTCTCGTTCGCGAGTAAGTCATGACGGGGTCTGCGGTGGCTGGGCGGGCTAGGTTCGAACGGGAGGGTGCCGAGGCATGAAGTTGTTTTGTACACGAGAGTACGTCTCGTAGGCTAGTCGGTCTTTCGAATAATCGCGAACTCGTTCGGGCGCGATCGCGATTTTTAACTTGTTCGCGTGTTTTATATTTTATTCCCAATCTTCGTGAGAAATAAGATGTCTTAGTGTGGCGACAGTAGAGTTTTAGTATACCGAATCGAAGTCCCCTTCGTAAGACACAAAATTTAATAAAGTGTCAGTAGAGTCGCTTTAACTTAATTCGTTCCAAGTTATATTAGATATCTTTGATACAGATAGCGCCAATAGGCTGCGCCACTGGGGCGCATGTCGGGTTTCGATGTGTAGCCACCTCCACGCGGTGAGACCTGATAATTGGTATCATTTTCCAAAGAATAATTTTTGGGAAACGATACCAAGTCAAGAGCTACGCACAAAGTTTAAGATATTTCCTATCTCTTGTAAATTTTCAATGTTCCCTTTGAATTGTATTTTTTGTGTTCATAGACTTACTCCTGCCACCAATTGTGTAGAAAAACTCACAATTTTCGAAAGCTGATGATACAACGATAACTGACGATAACGATAACGTGTCGAAGAAGGAGTACATACACGGTCGTGTATAGTCGAGGAAGGGTGATCGAGATCGAGAAACGGGCCCATATCATTTCTCCGCGCAATTCGTTTTGTCTCACCGTTAATCTCGTGTCCCGTAAGACACTTCTAAGTTGGTTCGTGCTCAAACGGGTATCGACATATTTCTACATGCATCGACTTGGAGGCTGCGTTGCCAGGCTGGTGTTGCTGCGGCATCCTCTCGGGGACCAACCGTCCGGTTTCCGGGAGGGGTCCTCCGTCAGTCCTTATTGAGCCATCACTTTGTGCTCCTATCCTTTGCGGCAGAGGTGTTCATACTTCCGAATTCTGATTCCGTTGCTCTTCGACTGGCAGTTGTTAGTACCATCAGTCCGATAATGCAGCCTTCGAGCGAGTAAGTCATGTCGGAATAAATCGTACGAGATTGGGCATGAATGCCTTAGACAGGGTGCTGAAACATTGCGGAGGTATCTATTGCTCACGAGTTCGTCGCGTGGGTTCGTTGGATTGATCGCATCGTGACGGGATTTTATATAAATTTTTTATTGCTCGCGGTTTTGGTATATGGCCGATAAAGGCTACGAATGTCTCAACAGAGTTGTAATAGTAGCGTACCGATTCGAATAACCTTTTGTTAGACACGACTATTTCAATAACGTGTCAGTAGCTTCATTTTCTTTCTTTCGTTTCAAACGAAACATACTTGCGTTTGTTACAGGTGTTGCCCGTAGGACCGCCTCCGTTGTTTATTACCATATTGTGTAATTTATTTCATAATTTATATTGCAATTTGTAATTTATTTTGTATATCTATGTTTTGTATCATATTTTATACAATATTTTAATATTGTTTTCAGGGACGGGTCCTCGAATCGCGTATCCACTTTCACGTGGGAAGACCTAGTAATTGACATCGTTTGCCAAAGATGTATCTCCATTTTTGACTCGATAAATTTTATTTCGTAATTTCCGAAATTTTCGACATGTTCATCTTTGACAAATGATGCCAAGCTAAGAGCTACACAATACTCGTAGCTAGTACCTAGTACCTAGTACCTAGCTTTAGCTCTTAGATAGTTTACAGTCTATACTAGTGCACGTACGACGGTATTTATACTCGTAGAGTTGTCATATAAGTCTATTATCTTTATTTTGTTTGTTTCTTTGCATATTTAGAAACGATATTACTCAATTTCGCAAAATTTCGTGACACTATTATATTTCAAGTCACATAGCCTACTTGCAATATCAATTTGAATTCGGTACAGTTACCATCATACGCTACGATAAGTTTCTATACTCTGTCGATAACATTACTGTTATCGGCTGAACGTAGCAACGGTAAGGTAGAATCCTCGGAAATCGGGCCGGAAAAATATATCCACGCAATGTTAAATTTACTTTACAGCTCGTCTATACATTGTCGGTGTTAAGTTGCCAGTTTATTGCCATTTCTAACGTTGCCGATTCGACATTAAATCAAATTACGGTATTTATATCGTTTGGAAATGAAACTAAATTCCAGTATAGAACTCTGAATAAATACATCTTATAATTGCTATACTCGTATTATAATTAATCGAGTAGTGCACTTAACACCAAAATGGCACTCTTATAATGGCTGTGTTATCACAAGGAAATTCTAGTAGTGGAAAAATAGGCAAAGGGAAACATATTGTATTTATTAAAACATTAATTTATAAATCCATATGGTTTTCGTTTAATGTAACATTTTGCAATGGGTGTAAAATTACTATTTTGATATTTAACGATTTTAAGACAAATATATTAAATATATATTAAAACTCGTTTGTACTTTGCTACATTCGGTTTTAATTTCGACTATCGATAGTGTCGTAACTTACATTGTATAAATCGGTAACGTAGATAATTACTAAAAAGGAAGTGTAAGAGGACTGTGGAACTTTTAGACGAGGTAACAAAAATGTATCGCACGCTGAATTTGAACCGCACTTTGCGTAGTCTTCGAAGATCAGTGCGATGCTATGCTACTTTTGATATCGACAGATGGCGATAAGAGTATCATGATCCTTGTACTATGTAATGTTATTCTCATGCAGAACGTAATCCACATTTCCGTGTCGTGCAACACGGTTGAACGATATTCCACGATAATTGGAAAGTGGTTAATCAATCGACCGGTTAATCGGTGTATCATCGGTATAACAGTTTGATATACGATATACGATATACGATGAATACGAACGAAGAAGGGAAGTAAAAAAGGTAGCTAACAAAAGTTTTTTCGTTAACATTCGATATTTGCGAGAAACCTATGTTCTTGTCACTCTTTTCGAATTACGTCGGAGTTGTGTATTTCGGTACGTGTTAAAGACTACGAATCTTTCGATGCGATCGTTTTATCGCTTCACCATTTCCCTTTTCATCGTTTCTTGTAATTCCTTCATTTGGAGGGAGAAGGGATCAGCATTGAAAGAGACGTTCGGAATATACGTTCGGCTCAAAGTGCAGAGAGTTTTGACGGGTCAGTAACTCCAAAAATATTTATGTCGTCCTCAACTATTCTTACTCCCGCGACATGGATATTTTCGGCTAATGTTGGGTAACCCCAGTACGTGTTTTCTCTCTTTTCTCTTAATTACAGAGATTCGTCGTTGGATGAAAAAACCCGCGTTAAAGCTCGACGGGATGTTAGTCCTTGTTAAGTTATATTTCTCTTTCTCCTCCAAGAAACGTGTTTATAAGATAAAACGTTTCGTGAGAAATCAAGAGTCGTTTGACAAGAAAGAAACATCGATCCGAACGACAAAGTGGACAAACGATATCTGGGCGGATAAAAGTCGAACCAGATCGATAGCGTCTGGAATGGACTAATCGAGATAACGAGTGGTTGATAGGCGTTGGACGACAATTGCTCGACGAAAACGGTAATTGATGGAAAGGTATACGATGAATGTGTAATTTTTTCAAATTTGCCGATATTACGTGCGAATTGAAAGCAATATACACGATACACGTGGTGCTAGAAAGTATAGAAGGACAGAAGGAGGACGACTTTGTGTGTGGATGGAGGATAAGGAAGGGAGAGGGAGATATAGAAAAGGAGAAAAATCGTGACGATCTTTTTTCGAGAGACAGCTACGAGGGAAGGACGATGTAGGCGTGTGGCGTTGGGCTTTTAAGTTCTTTTAAGCGTTCAGTGGGAAAACAAGGGGGAATGCCAAAGAAGGAGGACAGATGTGTATTTCAGGGGACACGTTTTACAGGATGTTTTGAATACGTGCCGATATTGCGAGAGAACGAACACGTTGATAGCTCAATTTTACAAGCTATCCAGTTTATCTGCTTAAAAGTAGTCTCCGATTTCCACCGTTTCCGGGATTAGGTTCTTTGGACGTGCTGACTGGCAGGTTTTCGAAGATACGTTCATAAATCGCGCATGAGTCCAGCTGCCTCCTTCGCCCGAGCGAAGAACCGCGTGTATCGTCATCGTAGCTCGAGAGAACTGAACAGAAGAAAAAGAGAGCAGGGATATGTCTACGGGCTAGACGGTATATACATATGAACATTCGTATATACGTTTTAACGTTCGAACGGTATCGAACGATTTAACATTTCCTACGATTTAACATTTGCCGATGAGTTAACCTCGCTTGTGCGGGAATAGCAGTTCTTTTGTTTCTACCTAGTGGCTGAAAAATTTCTATTGACACGAGATGGCGGATGCAGCTTCGCCGTCGATAAGTAAGTCCAACGACAATACTGTAAAAGTTAGCAAGAAAGATGGCTCGAACAAGGATACATATTTTGATACGAGGTTTGACATATTTCGATATCTTTTATTACGGTGTATTGCATTTATAAATCTATATATATGCATGTATGCGCGTATATACGTATATTTATACACAGACACAAAACCGATACGACGCGCTTCGAATCGAATGGAAACACACCGAAATCGCGGAATAAAAATACGCTCGCTCGCTCGTCGGCATATTCATTGGATTCGTTTACGCGGTTGGTAAGAAACGATTAGCGAATGCCGCGCGAGCATATTTCAGTACGTAAAATTGAAATTTACTCGTCGGGCGATATCGATGTCGAAGTTATTTGGAAAGAAAACGATCGTTAAGCAAGATTAGAGAAAAGAAAGACAAACATTCGTCGATATATTTTAGGAACTTGCTATCCACTCGATGACGGCGTTCAACGGTGGGTCGAGGAACAATCGAGAAGTATTCTTCGGTCCTTGGATGTGTCTCGTGGAAAGCTACATCCGTGTCGGGTGTCATTGGTGCGAAACGTATCGAAGAGTATCGGTGTTACCACGAGTCGGCCCGTTGATGCTCTGGACGATCATGTTGAGGCGATCCAAGCTGCTCCCGCTCAGCTGAGACGACTGCGATTCCATCGTGCCTTCGAATCCTGTCGAGAAACGCCAATGAATTCACCGATCACCGGTTTATCTAAAATCTCATTAGCTCGTTAGAAAAAGCAAAGAATCGATGTCTGTCGTCTATCGAGTTGTCTGGTTAGAAACGACAGATGGTTCCGATTGATTTTACGCTGCAGTAGGTTACGCGCGAATCTTTCCAAGCTGCGTTATCGCTGCCATGAATTGGCAAACGCTATACGAAAGGACCGATACGATTATTCGACTGGATTGGAAAAATTAGACGGAAACTATGAACGCGGTTGCGCGATTCGATCGTTTTAAACTTAGGGAGATGGGAAGGATTAGGCGAACGACGTCACTTGGTATCCCTTGACGGGCAAAGTTGCTCACCGAAACGATTTAATTGCAATCCCTGTCGGTCTTCAAAGAGCTCCGATTCGCGCTTATCACCGGTGGCTGTGTTTTTTCCGCGAGAGTTAAAAGGATTTCGACAAGGAACCTTTCATACCGTCTCATTAGCGAAGAACGCAACGAGGAGGTCGAAAACTTGTCACGGACATTGAATTTCTCTGGCTAAAGGCGTTCTTTGTTTTCGATCGTCGTAACGCTTTAGATCACGTTGCACCCCGACGTGTACGTCAAATAGAATTACTAATAGCCTCGATTCGAAGCGATTTAAAGGGAAATGGTTCTAACAAGAAGAACGAGAACTAGATATGGATGGAAGATTAGGTAAATGAGCAAAATAAGGGCGAAAGTGTAAAGAAAGATCGAAGTGCAGAGGGTAGAGGAATGACCGTGGAATATAGGAATAGGAGACGTAGGTAGATAGAAAAACGCGAAAGGGAATTTTCGAGATACTTGAGTGAATTCTGGATGTGGCAAAGTATGTATTTTGGACGCGGTTTCCGCTGCTTTTAAACGACCGTTCCGTTGGCAAAAGGATGGTCCGGTGGTGATGCGTCATACTAATGTACCGTGGCAATATATGGCACTTTGAAGCGACTTGAATTTTCTCATCCTTGGACGATCCATTGAATTTCGTCAACGTAACGAACGCCGTATGTATCGCGAGATATCTGGCGAGAGAAACCGAATGGAAAATCGTTACTAATTACGTCGTGAGGCGCGAGGAAAAAGTAGCGACACGTGGATGTTGGAAAAGCGCGAGGTTTCTCGACAATGCGACAAACTATGTAGGCTGTAGAGGTGGTCGCATTTGATGGAAACGGCACGCGTGGCGAAATAACGGGACACATCGATCGAAATAATCAGGATTGGCACGTTAGTGGGTTACGGTTCGATAAATCCCTTGGCATCGCTACCTTGCCAGCCCCGTTCGTTCGCAGAGGAGCACTTGTTTTGTGGTTGTTGCAAAGATGCCTCTATTCCTACCGAGGACCTCGCGGCCCTTTTTCCTTCATTCCTGTTGCTCGGCCTCTCGCTACTCGGCGAATGCGACGCGGTGTGATGGTGAATTATTATAGACTGTTGCGTTTAACGAGAAACTCGTGCCACGAATTTCCTCTACCCTCGTCTACTCGAACAGTCTGCTCGAAGATTTCCCTCCGTTCTCCCAGTCGAGTTATCGTTTTATCGTTTCCGTGATAGGTGGGCGAAACACCGTGACAAATGGAAGGCGATTCAATGTTGGATACATGATTTAATTTCGCATATAAGCGCCTATCGCGTTGCTGCTCGTTTGCTCGCACGAGCAACGAACCAACGCTGCTCCCTTCTTCCTACCGGCTTGAATTATGTTTCACGGTTGCCAATAGCCAGGTATTCATTAACGCTAATTAATCCCGAGTTATTTTAACGATCGAAATACCAGAATCTCGCGAGCTGTTCCTTTTGGCTCGTGAAAGATTCGCGCATTCGCGCATTCGCGCATTCGCGCATTCGCGCATTCAAGCATTCGCGCGTCCGACGGCGACGGTGACGGCGACGGCGCCATCGAATTGGCATTGTCGCGAACACGTGAAATATTTCCGATTTTTTTCCCTCTACCGTTCTCGCGTAGCCGACACGTCGCGTCGCGACAAACTGTTTCCCATTCTCGTTCCCATTCCCGTTCCCATTCCCGTTCCCATTCTCGTTCCCATTCCCGTTCGATTTGCCGGTGCGGAAATTCGCATAGCGCGGTAGATTTGCGCGATCACGGAGACGGGGCCGTTCGTCTATTTTCAGAATGTGGGCCAATTAATTCCGCCGTGTATTCGGCAGGTCGGAAAAACAGGGAAATCTCGTCAAATATCGGGCGCGAAAATAGCTAGAGAACGAGGCTGAGCATCTAACGACGACGACAACGGCGACAACGACGGCGATGCCAATCGAAGATCGTGCGACTGCGCTCGTACGTGTTCGATTGGCTAGACTAGACTAGGCTAGACCATATAACGAGCACGGTGGCGGCGCAGTATGCATGGTATACGATACAAGAGTCACGGGGGTTCACGGTGAACCGTGACGCGTGGCGCGTGGCTGGTAGACTGTCGCGGGTAACGCGAGCCGCGAGCGAGCCGCGAGCAAGACGCGCGCGAGACGCGAGCGAGACGCAAACGAGACGCGAGCAGCCGACTGTATCGAGAGGACGTTGTATCGTCGGAAACTCACGGGTGGGCTATCTATAGCAACGAGTGTAACCGAATAGAAACGGAGTGTCACTCAAGGGTGACAAAACTCATTAATACCGATCTGCTTAATGCTCCGTCTCGTGTCAAGCATTAATCTACTTAAAAATACCAGTATCACGAACGATCTACCGTTTTGGAAACGTGGAGCTAGAAAAGCCGGTCGATGGGTCGCACGCTCCTTAATAGTGACTTCCTGTCTTTCCACGCGTTTCGGCGTCGCGACACGAACGAAAATTACCGTTTCGTGGATAGAATCTCACTCACCGTTGATGGGTTGAAACCTTGCCAGAGGGTCCGAGAACTGTCTCAGCCTTTCCGTCACGTATCGCGGAGAAGATGCGTCCTGGAAAAATAAGAAACAAAACTGTCGGGATTACCGCGAGTGCGCGATTAATGGTCCGGTGCGGCTAAATCGGTATCTCGGAGATAAAGGGAGAATGGTCGTTGGTATCGCGTAATAATAATAAGAATCGATATCGGTAGCTGGGTTCAATAGCTCGCGGAATGTAGGCCGATCGGAAGGTTCGGTTACGCGTCGCGTTTTGTCGCGTTTTGTCGCGTTTCGTCGCGTTTCGTCGCGTTTCGTCGCGTTTCGTCGCGTTTCGTCTCGTCTGGTCTCGTCTCATCTACTCGCGACTCGGGTCGTTGCGTCTCGTGGTCTATCATGACCATGCTCTGTAACCAAAGGGTATCTCGTAGTTACCGTTTTGGAAAGGAAGAAGAAACAGCCTGTCCGAGATAATTCGAAGAAGGTTGGACGAACGCGAATTTGTCGCGACGCGGACGGGATAGATATCGATGTCCGATAAGAGGTTTCGAGAAGAGAGATTCCGTCGAGCGAAAAAGCTGCCGGTAAACGTACTCGCGACTTTCTTTCTTTCATTCATTCCTCCACTCTCTGCCAACCACTAAACACCATGTACACATTTTATCCGTTTCGGATCCTTTATTTGTTTCGGCGCATCTATATGCGTCGTCGCGGCCAACTATTCTTGGAGTAAAAGCAGTTCCTCGCTGCACTGTCCATCGCCTGGTATCGTGCGTGCGTACATTTATACGCTCATCCACGCACATTTGCAACTTGTTACGAGAAAGTATCACTGGCGAAATTGGGTGTACTCTCTACAGAGGGAAAAAATCAAAAGAAAGGAAGATGCACGCGTACGAAAATCGTTGGAAAATCGTTTCGTCCGAGATTCTCGGGATCTGGTTTTGTCCAACTATCGTTTTAGGATTAACGTTACGGTTTCGATAACAGCAATCGAAGCGTAACCAGCTTGGATCTCCGATCGAAACGGATAGAAACGGATAGAAACGAATGGAAACGGATCGAAATGGATCGAAACGATCGTAACGATGGTAACGATGGTAACGATGGTAACGATGGTAACGATGGAACGGACGAGAAAATGGCTACGGCTTTTTGGAAGACCAATGGGACAAAACTGGGGACGGTTGACGACGGTGGAATGGGATGCGAAGTGAAATCGAGGAGCTTTTATCGTAAAGTAGGATACGTTAACGGTCTCGTGCTCGCGACTAAAACTGCTGCTTTAAATAAGCGCTATGTTTGCTCTGGAAGATAGCTTCGCGTCCTCGATGTCGGAGGTCGATACGAGTAGTCTTCTTTCAAAGTAGAATCTCTGGGACACATAAAACGTCGAGTTTATCTCTTTGTTGCTAGTCGAACTTCCAAAAGAGCCATGGATCCTCGATCGGCGATGATCGGAGCTTACTCAAACTCGATTCGAATTCTTTTCGAATCTTCGAATGCGAAAATCTTTCTTTTTTTTTTTTATCAAACCCGTTATTCGCTGTTCTTCGCTTGCCTTTTCGCTTGTCTCTGTGCGCGATCTACGCTGTACGCGACATTCATCCGTTTCGGTTGGTTCGTTCGTTTCCTTATGTCCGCGTTCTATCATCGTTCGACTTTTTTATCTTTTTATATAACGAGCGGGCAAACGGGACGTTGAACTTTGACGATTTCGTATCGGATAAAAGCGGCGTCGGGTGGAATACGGGACGAGCGTAACGAAATTTCGTTTAGAAACGAAGAAAATGGTGCGCTAACGCGGTACGAATCGATGCGCAGCATCGAGCTTATATTTAGCGGGGATACGAGTCGACTGCTTTGAGCGATACGAAATACCAGGGAAATATATGTCATTGTATAATCCCCTCGAGAAGAATCTCAGAGTAGCTGGCTCGCGCTGGCTCTGTTTCGAAGGGAGTTGGCGCGCGCTTCTCGAATTCTCCAACGCTTTCCCCGCTGCAACGAATCCAACGAGGAATCGACGCGAGAAGAGAAGACGATCGTGAATATCGCTAACAAGCGTAAAGGAACGATTTCGACACTTTGGGAGAAACCGAGAGAGCACGAGCAAAGAATTATAGCGCGCACACTTACCGTCGTACTCTCGATCGAACCATGATCCTGAGCTACCGAGGATCTGTTGCTCTGCAGCAAAGCTTCCAGACCTTCGATGTACTCGATCGCGTTTCGTAGAATCTCCACTTTTGGTAACCGTTGGTTAGGATTGTTGCTGGTTCTCCTCTTCAACACCTCGAATGCCTCGTTCACCTGAAACACGGCCGATGAAAATTCGCTGAAAGACGAAGCTGAGCGAACCACTCCTTTTTCCAGGGAAAACACTCCGTGGGTATTTGAAACTGACCTTTCTCAAGCGTCTCCTTTCACGTAAAGTAGCAGCTTTCCTTCGATCGACGGTGACGGTTTTCTTTTTACAGGCTTTGCAAGCCCAGAGCAGGCATCGGCGTGGTCCGTGCGCGGAGGTGCCGGTATCCAGAGTGGCGTGAGGGTGAGGCACATGTTGGTGCGATTCGCTCTCATTCGACTCGTTGCTCTTTTCGTTGGGTTCGTTGGGTTCGTTGGAATCGTTGGGTTCGTTTGATTCGTTACCCTCGTTGCTTTCTTCCGCCTCGAGCGAACCGGACTCGAGATCGGCCGAAGCGTCCACCGACACGAGCGACGACGCGTCGTCCGAGTCCACCGCGTATCGTGATAATCCCGACCTGTCGACGGACGACAAACCTTTATCGTTTCTTACCTACTTCCTTCTTTCTACCTGTTTCCTTCTTCCTTCCTCTCTCCTTCTCTTTTCTTTCTTCTCTCTTCTCTCGTTGCGTGTACGCGCGTGGAGAATTAGAAAAAATGCTCGCGGATGCAACGCTAGGAGCGCTCTTCCCGATTGGAATCGTTCCAGATGGTCGACAACGCGAGATTCGTGGTATCGTGGACGCGACGATGGATCGAAGGTGGTAAACGCAGTTAAACGGAATGCAAAATACGAGGTGAAAATGTTTTAACGCGCGATAAAACCGTCGTCGCGTCTGCTCGCGAGGTAACGGCGGACGACGCGATTCTTTTTCTTAAATACGATTCGAGAATTACCGAGTCGAGCTGGATAAAAATGATGCGAGGGAGAGAGAGAGAAAGAGAGAGAGAGAGAGAGAGAGAGAGAGAGGAGAGAACAATCCGTTAAACTCGAGTCGTCGTGCACGATTTCATTATCGTACCGATAACGCTGTGAATTCGTCGATCCTAATGCCGAGTCGTTCTCAGCTGACTCGATCGCTCCGCTTCTCGTTTCTTCGTCCAGGTTTCCTTCGGACGACAGGTATCCTTGCAGACAATCGACCGACGGATCATCGGTGGTCGCGTATACACCCCGTCGCCGACGATGATGATGATGATAATAGTGATGATGATGCCGATGGTGATAATAACGATGAAGATGGTGATGATGATGATGATGGTGGTGCCGTAGTTGTAGGTGATGATGGCGATAAACGTCGTAAGGCTGTCTACCGACCGGTTGACACGTATAAGACACCGTGTCTGTCACGAGAGTCATCGTTTGCTCGTGGAACACGCGAACGGAAATCTTTCCTGCGTGCTAAGTTTTTTCTTCTTCTCCTTCTTCTTCTTCTTCTTTTGCTTCGTTTTTCACTTTCTTCGCTTCTCGTTTTTGTCCCGCTCCTCTTTCCGCTTCGAATCGAGTGATACGATGATCTTCAATGCTATTAGCGGCGATGATGTTCTTTTCAAACGAGATTCGTGACACGCGGCGATTCGATCGATTTTCATACCGAATACCGCGTTCCGCGATAAACGATCGCGAGCAACGCGAGCGACGTTTGCGTTCCGGTTTCCATTTCCGTTCTCATTCGTGACCTACCTATCTGTCTATCCATCCATCCGTCCATCCATGTATCGATCGACCGATCGACAGGAGAATAGACAGCACGACCAACCGATCAATCCAACGATCGACCTATCTGGCCGAGGTCGTCGAATCTTTCCAAGTTGGAAACCAGAGTTGAGACACAGGAATGCACGTCGACGAAACGGGACGCGTTGTCGTCGTTGTCGTCGTTGTCGTTATCGGAGGAAGAGAGAGAGATAGAGAGAGAGAGTGACTGAGAGGGAGAGGGAGAGGAAGAGAAAGGTGACGAAACGTAAGACGTGGTATAAAATCGGTGATTGGCGAGAGAAGCGAAATTCGAGCGAAAGATGAAAACGAAGCGAAAGCAAAGTCTCGACGAAGATCGAAGTCGGCGGTCTTTCCGGGAGCCGGCCGCGACGCGTGGCCCTGAAACGTGCACGAATGCGGGCCGCAAGCTCTCGTACACGCTCGTCGACTTTCGTAGGCGATCGTAAGCGGCCACGCTCGCGTTCGCGCTCACGCTCTTACTCGCGCTTCGGACCACGTTCCTCGACCGCCAAAACCCACGCCTAACCAACACCGTTCGAATACTTTACGAGCTACGTTTAGCAGCTGGTTACACCCAGATGGATTATTTTCGACGAAGAACCGACCAATTAGAGACCGTGGAAATTCTCTGGGATCCACCGTTGTCCCGCCTCTT